ATGTTTGTTTGTGTAGGTACGCAGGAGGAAGATGATGGAGATGATCTGTTGTTGAAATATGTTGATGAGTTCTGGTGGTTTCCTCATATGTGGAGTCATATGCAGCCTCATCTCTTCCACAATGAATCCTCTCTGATGGAACAAATGATCCTGAACAAAGACTTCGCTTTGGTGAGAAAAACTACACCTCTAACTTGCCCATACACAATCAGTGAACAAAACCATCATCCAGGTATTATCACATCCAGTGAAATGCCCATTCACCTAAGGAACCATTAGCCCGGCAGCGAGTCGTGTCATTTACTGTGAGAAAATGAACACTAATTATGCGTGTTTTACAGGTGCTTTGAGACTTCAGTTGTTCCTCAAATAGAGAAGTGCCTCTTGTGATTTTGACAGAATCATTGAAACCTACACATAAACGGAGGAGAGTGTGAGTGTGAGTGTGTGTGTGCTCTCATTTAGTTATCTCTCAGTAACACTCCTGCATTTATTTGTCCCCCTTTTTCTGTGAAGCAGCACTCTCATGTCACACTCAAAGACACTTTGCTAGCAGAATGTAATACTCTGACATATATTTACCCTTCATGTATTTCAGAGTGATACGCATACTGTAAATTGATGCAAGCGACCCGAGTGCAAATCTGGCTCATTCCATTCCCTGATCCCTTTCACTCGTCTGCTCCTTTTCGTTCCCTGTTTATAAAATGGACAAGATATATCTCCTAAATCATATATAAAAAATGAGGAATGCCCTACTAAGAGGTGACAAAAACATTCAGATTTCCAAGAGAATTTCAAAGGAAAAGAATCTAGCTGTTTGCTGGCACACAGTGGGGTGATCATTGGCATTCCTCATTGTCACACAGCCTGTTTTATTTAGTTATGAGCTGATTGGAAGCCAAACACTGCGGCTGAACCGTTAGAGAGAGGATATCTGCACGACCCCACTGAACAAGTAAATTGTCACGCAAGTAAACCCATCCATTGTGTTGTGCAGTGCCACTCGTGCACTTGTGGTTTGTAGTTTGGCGTTTTGTTTCTTTTTGTAACCTTTGTAATAAATGAATAGTTCACCCCAAAATAAAAATTTGCTAAAAATGTATTTACCCTCAGGCCATCCGAGATGTAGATGAGTTTGTTTCTTCATCAGAACAGATTTGGAGAAATGTACCATTACATCGCTTGCTCACCAATGAATCCTCTGCAGTGAATGGGTGCCGTCAGAATGAGTCCAAACAGCTGATATAATCTACAGTCGACAAGACTCCAGTCCATCAATTAACATCTTGTGAAGCAAAAAGCCAAGTGTTTTGAGCATGTGATGTAATGCTACATTTCTCCAAACCTGTTCTGATAAAGAAACTCAACTACATTTTAGATTGGCCTGAGGGTGAGTACATTTTTAGCAAATTTTCATTTTGGGGTGAACTACTTCTTTAATGGTGAGTTACAGAAAAAAAATGATTCAAAATTCTGTTTATATATTGATATGTATACAGCAACATATTGTAGATGGTTGTGTACTCACTAGCTGCCTATGTCTAGACTTCATCTTTACTGTTAGGTTGCGTATTAGCATCACTGTCACTTGGCTGTTTGAATATTTGAAATACAGCCGTGTGATGTGAACGGCGGCGTGAGTGATAAACTACAGAGCGTAAAGTGCCCCTGCTGAAAGTCACAAACAAGCACAGCCTCTGTCTGAAAACATAACCGCCAGCTAAATTATAATTTGAGTCATGCGCTACGGCTTGAGCAGTTTAGCTAATAGTTTTTTATGCAAATGTAGTTTGCATTAAAATGTGACTAAAATTAAGATTTAACAAAGTTCTTTTGAAAACAATAATATGTTTCATAAAGCTACTCATTGATTTATCCATATAATTATTATCTTTGTTGTTTATTTCCCCCCACATTATCATTTTCAATCATTTTCAATCATTTCATCTTTATCCATAAAGAGGCCTTCATATTACAGTGAACTTTAAATGGCTTTTAGTGTGTTTCGCCATCTGAGAAATAGAAATATTGGAAATTAAATTAGCCTAATGTGTTTTTTTTTTTACTGTGGGTATGTTGTTTAACTGTTTTGCACAAAAACTAACTACATCTTAACTAAATTTTTCAGCAGCAACAAGCTACTTTTTTCTGTCAAGTACAGTAGTAATGTAGTGTAACAAAACAATACATTTCTATAAATCACATTGTTTGCTTTAGATCTGAGACAATAATCATACACATTCTCCTATAAAAGCTGTCCCGCAATGTCCTTTCTTTCATTTGTAGCTTTGGAGCCAGATTAACTTTAGTGATTCACTTTATTCAAATGATTCATGAAATGAACTGAATAAAAAAAAAAGATGTTTCACAGATGCAAACCTCTGCTCATGGCATCAAGTCTCTGGTAGTATTTTCTGTGTTTTTATAGCAAAATATTGCATTTAACAGTGCTGTTCATTACTATGTTTTTGACTCTAGTATTCTAGTATTTTGTTGTATTTAGTGTAAATGTAACTGTTCAAGTTTAATGATGTTTTAATCACTTTAAACATGAAAAGTCTATTCAAAAACATTGTTTTTGTTGCAGACCCATACTTTCTATCTTAAGATATACATCATAAAATGATAATTAGTTTATAATTAATAAATAAAGTAGAATAATTATAAATCATTTAACTGTTTATTGTGTGGAAATTAACAGAAAATAAAAATACCTTTGAGATTAATTATTTAACTACTTTAAAATCACAACATGATACTCTTTTAAAGTAGCGCCCCCAACACTGGTGTTTATTGCTCTGTGTGTATGAGGGTCAGGTTTTGCCTACATTATGCAATCCAAATGTCCCCACAAGGATAGTAAATCCTGAAATCAACTACATTTTGGGGAGCAGCCAACAGTGCCTGTAAGGAAAAAAGCACAATAAATATACTAAATAATATCTTAATTAAGATTCATGTGATGGTTGTGTCATTTGCAGGTTTAAAAGTGAAGGTTAGGAAATAGAAAATATCATTAGCTCAGTATAAAAAAAATAGATGCCAGTCGAAAGTCTACACTATTATAGAAAAACAAATATGTGTATGCATGTTAGTTGTATCTCTCTCTAGAAGTCTAGATTTTTCAATATTGTGATGCACATCCGAGTAAAGCAGATTATTTAAAAGAAAAATGTAGGATGGGGTCTTGGTTCAGTTCATTGGTTGCTGATTGGATGTAGGCAGGCTTAATGTGATCTTAAAAAAAATAAACATATGCATGGATGAATCATTCACAATGAGATCAACATGCATTTAGAAAATAGATTCCATTTCATGCTGACTTTAATACATTTTCCTCTCTCAGAGCTGCCATAAGGATCTGTTCATAGTCAATGACAATCAACAAACTGCACACTTCAAAAATTTCCCAGGAAAAATCTCCTACATGAGTGACCAAGGTCAAGCAGTTAGCATGCGCTTGACTCTGGGTGCAGAGTTAAACAGACTAGTGTCTGTCTGCTCAGAGGGCAGAGACTGTGAGAGTCGAGCTGACAGAGAATTTTAATGGGCCACGAGCAGAAGTTTGATCATCTAGAGAAGACAGCTTTGATTTGCCTTTATTGGTTTGGGGGTTTGATTAAATCAGAGAGCTGTGCAGCTAAGCTAACAGACGAGTGTACATGAGAGAATGGAGAATGTGGCGGTTGTGTGTGTGTGTGTGTGTGTGTGTACACGTGCACATTCTCTGGG